TGTGTGTGTGTGTGAGTGTGTTTGTGCTTAACATTACTGTGTGTGTGTGTGTGCGTGTGAGTGTGTTTGTGCTTAACATTGCTGTGTGTGTGTGTGTGTGTGCGTGTGGGGGTGGTTGTGCTTAACATTACTGTGTGTGTGTGTGTGCGTGTGAGTGTGTTTGTGCTTAACATTGCTGTGTGTGTGTGTGTGTGTGCGTGTGGGGGTGGTTGTGCTTAACATTACTGTGTGTGTGTGTGTGCGTGTGAGTGTGTTTGTGTTTAACATTGCTGTGTGTGTGTGTGTGTGTGTGTGTAGAGGCTGTTAACCGGATAAAGGAGATCATTACTAATGGTGTAGTGAAGGCTGCCACTAACTCGAGCTACAGCGGAGCGACGGTCACCGTTTACCAGCAGCCTGGACCCGCTCCTGCACCCACAATCCCCTCTGCTGCTCACAAACCACACTATCCAGGAGGAGTGAGTACACACACACTCACATCAGCGCAATGCACACGTGTGTTTCGTCTTTACACCAGCCTAACCGTGTGTGTGTGTGTGTGTGTCAGATGCATTACGTGCAGGATAAGCTGTTTGTGGGTCTGGATCAGGCCGTGCAGGGCTTCTGTGTGAAGGAGCGAGTGGAGGGCCCTGGCTGCTCGTACCTGCAGCACATTCAGGCCGAAACCGGGGCCAAAGTCTTCCTGCGGGGCCGGGGGTCCGGCTGCTTGGAGCCCGCGTCCGGACGAGAGGCCTTCGAGCCCATGTACATCTACATCAGGTGTGTGTACGGATCTCACACACACACACACACACACTCACACACAAACACTCACACACGCACTCACTCACACAAACACACACATGCACTCACACGCGCGCGCACACACACATGAACACACACACGTACACACAAACACACTCACACACACACACACACACACACACTCACATGCGCGCACACACACACACACACACACACACACACACATTCACCAGCATTCATGAGTTTCTCTGTTCCTCCAGTCACCCAAAACCAGAAGGACTTGCTGCTGCAAAAACCCTGTGTGAAAACCTCCTGCAGACCGTAAGAGCGTCTCACTCTCTCCGTCTGTGTCTGTTATCAGTTTATTGTGCTGCATGTGTTTATCTGAAGTGTTTGCAGTGTAGCTGATGCACACAATGAAAAATCATGCAAATTAAAATAACAGTAGTGCAAACAAATACAGCAATTACAGGTGCATCTCGTGAAAAAGTGAAACTTTCGTATATTCTAGATTCCTTACATGTAAAGTAAAACATTTCAAGTTTTTTTTGTTTGTTTTAATTGATGATTAGAGCTCATGAGAGTCAAAAGTCCAGTATCTCAAAATATTAGAATATTTACATTTGAGTTTCATTAAATGACCATCCCTACAGTATAAATTCCGGGTATCTCTTGTTCTGAGAGTCTTGTTCTGAGAGCAGAGTTGACTGGAAGGAAGAAATCGGGTAGGAAAAGGTGCACAAGCAACAGGGATGACCCAAGCTTGAGAATACTGTCAAGCAAAGCTGATTCTAACACTTGGGAGAGCTTCACGAGGAGTGGACAGAAGCTGGAGTCAGTGCATCAAGAGTCTCCACGCTCAGACATCTTCAGGAAAACTTCTGAAGCAGAAACAACGTCAGAAGCATCTCACCTGGGCTACGCAGAAAAAGAACTGGACTGCTGCTCAGTGCTACAAAGTCCTCTTTTCATATGAAAGTAAATGTTGCATTTCATTTGGAAATCTAGGTCTGGAGTCTGGAGGAAGACTGGAGAGGCACAGAATCCGAGCTGCTTGAAGTCCAGTGTGAAGTTTCTGAAGTCAGAGATGATTTGTGGAGCCGTGACGTCTGCTGGTGTTGCTCCACTGTGTTTTATCAAGTCCAGAGTCAATGCAGCTGTCTAGCAGGAGGTTTTGGAGCACTTCATGCTTCCATCTGCTGACAAGCTTTATGGAGATGCTTTTCTTTTCCAGCAGGACTTTAGCACCTGCCCACAGTGACCATGATATTACTGTGCTTGACTGGCCAGCCAACATGCCTGACCTGAAGCCCATATGGAGTCTATGGGATATTTTCAAGAGGAAGATGAGAAACAGTGGATCCGAGCTGAAGCTGAGTAGTGTCTCAGCAGAGCCACAGGCGGATCGCTTCCATTAACATCTCACTGATGCTGGAGTCTGTGCTGAACGAGCCCCGACCAAGTGCTGAGTGCAGAAATCAACATACTTTAAACAACTTGAACTTTTCTGTTTTGCAATGTTATCAGTTTATTGTGCTGCATGTGTTTATCTGAAGTGTTTGCAGTGTAGCTGATGCACACAATGAAAAATCATGCAAATTAAAATAACAGTAGTGCAAACAAATACAGCAATTACAGGTGCATCTCGTGAAAAAGTGAAACTTTCGTATATTCTAGATTCCTTACATGTAAAGTAAAACATTTCAAGTTTTTTTTGTTTGTTTTAATTGATGATTAGAGCTCATGAGAGTCAAAAGTCCAGTATCTCAAAATATTAGAATATTTACATTTGAGTTTCATTAAATGACCATCCCTACAGTATAAATTCCGGGTATCTCTTGTTCTGAGAGTCTTGTTCTGAGAGCAGAGTTGACTGGAAGGAAGAAATCGGGTAGGAAAAGGTGCACAAGCAACAGGGATGACCCAAGCTTGAGAATACTGTCAAGCAAAGCTGATTCTAACACTTGGGAGAGCTTCACGAGGAGTGGACAGAAGCTGGAGTCAGTGCATCAAGAGTCTCCACGCTCAGACATCTTCAGGAAAACTTCTGAAGCAGAAACAACGTCAGAAGCATCTCACCTGGGCTACGCAGAAAAAGAACTGGACTGCTGCTCAGTGCTACAAAGTCCTCTTTTCATATGAAAGTAAATGTTGCATTTCATTTGGAAATCTAGGTCTGGAGTCTGGAGGAAGACTGGAGAGGCACAGAATCCGAGCTGCTTGAAGTCCAGTGTGAAGTTTCTGAAGTCAGAGATGATTTGTGGAGCCGTGACGTCTGCTGGTGTTGCTCCACTGTGTTTTATCAAGTCCAGAGTCAATGCAGCTGTCTAGCAGGAGGTTTTGGAGCACTTCATGCTTCCATCTGCTGACAAGCTTTATGGAGATGCTTTTCTTTTCCAGCAGGACTTTAGCACCTGCCCACAGTGACCATGATATTACTGTGCTTGACTGGCCAGCCAACATGCCTGACCTGAAGCCCATATGGAGTCTATGGGATATTTTCAAGAGGAAGATGAGAAACAGTGGATCCGAGCTGAAGCTGAGTAGTGTCTCAGCAGAGCCACAGGCGGATCGCTTCCATTAACATCTCACTGATGCTGGAGTCTGTGCTGAACGAGCCCCGACCAAGTGCTGAGTGCAGAAATCAACATACTTTAAACAACTTGAACTTTTCTGTTTTGCAAATCCTTTTTGTGATTGATCTTAGGAAATATTCTAATATTTTGAGAGACTGGATTTTTGACTTTCATGAGCTGTAAGTTCTAATCATCCAAATTAAATGTTTTACTTTACATGTAATAAATCTAGAATATATGAAAGTTTCACTTTTTGAAATAAGCTACAAAAAAAATTGTACATTTATTTTATTAATTCAATTTTATTTGTATATTTTCAGACTCTTTTTTTCATCGTTTTTTTATTAATATTTAGTTTTATTTAATGTTTATTTACTTTAGTGTTTCAGCTTTAATTCATTTTATTTCTATTAGTTGCCAAGGCAACATTTTTTTTTTAATGGTTTGAGTTAACAGTAAGACTGAGTGTGTGTGTGTGTGTGCGTGCGTGTGAGCTGAGTAGTGTCTCAGCAGAGCCACAGGCGGATCGCTTCCATTAACATCTCACTGATGCTGGAGTCTGTGCTGAACGAGCCCCGACCAAGTGCTGAGTGCAGAAATCAACATACTTTAAACAACTTGAACTTTTCTGTTTTGCAAATCCTTTTTGTGATTGATCTTAGGAAATATTCTAATATTTTGAGAGACTGGATTTTTGACTTTCATGAGCTGTAAGTTCTAATCATCCAAATTAAATGTTTTACTTTACATGTAATAAATCTAGAATATATGAAAGTTTCACTTTTTGAAATAAGCTACAAAAAAAATTGTACATTTATTTTATTAATTCAATTTTATTTGTATATTTTCAGACTCTTTTTTTCATCGTTTTTTTATTAATATTTAGTTTTATTTAATGTTTATTTACTTTAGTGTTTCAGCTTTAATTCATTTTATTTCTATTAGTTGCCAAGGCAACATTTTTTTTTTAATGGTTTGAGTTAACAGTAAGACTGAGTGTGTGTGTGTGTGTGTGTGTGTGTGTGTGTGTGCGTGCGTGTGTGTTGTTCTCTGGCAGGTTCATGCTGAGTATTCTCGATTCCTGAATCAGATGAGCAGTGTGATGCCCACACAGGGTAAAACACAGACACGTACACATTCACACACACACACACACACACTCTCACACACTCTCACACACACACACACACTTTTAAGAACTGTTAAAGTACATTTAAAGAATCCTTTATAGAATTTTTGTCTGAGTTGAAATTTATAGAATGTTTGTTTTCTATTATATTTATGATATTATGTTGTTGAGCGTTTAATTTGTTGCTGCCATATAATAGCAGATGAAGCTGAAATGGCAATAAATTTAAAGGGGTCATGACATGAGAAATCACATTTGCCTTGATCTTTTGGCATATAAGAGGTCTTTGTAGCATTAAAACATCCTGCAGGTTTCATAGCTTAAAAATGGCATCCTCATTATAAACAAAGCATTTATTTAATCAAGCTCTGAAGACGGCTCGTTTGGGATCCGAGGGGCAAGGTGATGTCATGGGGGTACAAACATTTGCATAAACATACCCCCAGAGCAAGACATTGACCAATAGTTTTTTTCTTAGCATAGACCCCGCCCACTGGCGCTCACTCGCTAACGGCTAACACTTGATCACGCAGAATGCGAGTGTTGCGTTGCGTCAAAAGCTAATAGAAATCACAATCACTGCGCTATCTCGTCTACTCTGGATACAGTTACAGATATGAATATCCTTAAACAGCTCGTTCACGTCTTTGTACAGATATCAGAAGGATCCCAGCGTAAGGAACAAGAGGATAGTTTATTTTAACAGCGTCTCGGATCGTGTCGGAGGATTTTGTTTTGTAATCGAGGCACAGTGTCATGGAGAGTCACAAAGAATCATTTGTTGAAAGATGAAGCGGAACTAGATCTGCATCACAAACCATAAGTAAATGATTTCATAATGCTTCGTCTGGAAAGAACCGCTTTATTTTGATCATGTTGTGAAAACACTCATGCAATAGCGAGGGGCTTGAGACTGTTTCCTATGCAGCGACGTTAGCCAATCACAACAGCGGCTGATTACTGACGAGCCTTAAAGGACACGCCCCTTAAAACAGATCGTTTCAGAATGAGGGTGGAAAATAATCATTTTTCCACATGTTTTTTTGTGTAAAAACCTTTATTAACATTATAAGTAAACCTCAAGAAACAATTTAAAATGATAAAAAAGTCCATGTCATGATGCCTTTAAATGGACAACCCTTATGTAGTTTCTGAGACTCGCTGGGTTGATGTCATCTAGTGATGTTCACTGTACTTACTTTCCTCTGGACGCAGTTGGCAGTGATGATCATGCTGCTATTCTCGTCCTCTTTGCATCTTGTGAATATATATATATATATATATGATTCTCATTTGCTCTGACATGCACTGTGAGCTGTAAGGTCTTATATAGACAGGTGTGTGGCTTTCCTTATCAAGTCCAATCAGTATAATCAAACACAGCTGGACTCAAATGAAGGTGTAGAACGATCTCAAGGATGATCAGAAGAAATGGACAGCCCCTGAGTTAAATATATGAGTGTCACAGCAAAGGGACTGAATACTTGGGACCATGTGATATTTCAGTTTTTCTTTTTTAATAAATCTGCAAAAATGTCAACAATTCTGTGTTTTTCTGTCAATATGGGGTGCTGTGTGTACATTAATGAGGAAAAAAATTAACTTAAATGATTTTAGCAAATGGCTGCAATATAACAAAGAGTGAAAAATTTAAGGGGGTCTGAATACTTTCCGTACCCACTGTATATATATGTCATTTCTGACTTAAAACAAAAAACAGAATAATGTCTACAAGCTGCTGTGTGACGAGGTGTACAGCAAACAAGCTAAAAAACCCAGAACTACGTTTTTATAAGCTGTCGACCCAAAAAACGAGCGTTTAGGACACAAAAGTAGAGCGCAACGTGTCATTACTCTGAGAACTACGCCCACTGGAAGGAAACGTAATCAGTGACAGGAAACATTAATTATTTTAATCATGTCAAAGGTGTGAACCTGATGTGAACCTGAGAGGAGGAGATGTACTGAGAAACTAAATTTTATTGGTCTATGTCAGTGCCCCTTTTCCTGACCTTCCTTTTGTTTGAGAAATGATCTAACTGAATGAAATACCTCGACATCTACAACTATTTGTGTCCTTAAATGCTCGTTTTTTGGGTCTACAGATTATAAAAGCATAGTTCTGGGTGTTTTGGCTTGTACACCTCGTCACACAGCAGCTTGTAGACATTGTTCTGTTTTTTGTTATAAGTCAGAAATGACACAGAGGCAGATTCCCACAAAACAGAGTCACTGAAGAGCGTTGGATTGTCCCCCCGGTGTGGGCGTGGCCTAAATGTGCTCTGTCTCTATTGGTTGTCATATGAGGTCATGTGAGCGGAGGCTCGTTTGGACTGATGGCTGTGTGTCTGTCAGCAGGATTCGTTCAGCCTCCTGCCGTTAATGGGATCCAGCCGCAGGCTCCGTATTACCCCCCCGCAGGCTTCCAGCCGTCCTACCCCGGCCCGGTCCCTCCGCCGCAGCCCGTCGCTCCTCAGTATCCTCTGGCTCCGGCCCCGGGCCCCGTCCCCACCGCACAGTATCCCATCACCCCCGCGCTCCCGAGCGTCCCGGCACAGGTACATTAATATGCTTTTTTTCACAATAGATTTCACCTATATCCCCATGCACCTGTTATTTCCTTTGGCAGAATTTTATATATATATATATATTAATTTCAGTCATTTTGAAACATAAGTGACACTCAACCTAAAACTAAACATAGAGATTCTGTTATTTTAAGATTATATGATTGATTGCTTCTGTTGTCCTCATTTGTAAGTCGCTTTGGATAAAAGCTTCTGCTTAATGACTAAACGTTTAGAAAATACATCGTTGACTTTAACACACTGTGGCCTTTCTGTTTAAATTAAATGATGTAATAATAATACATTTAAATCAATATTAAATTGAGATTTAAATTTCTCTATTAACAGATGTGGCTTTAAGGTGTTAAAAGCAGAAGAAAAATCGAGGAACAACAGCCTGGCGCACGGTTTTGGTTTTTCTAAATGTTTATAAAGCAGGAGGCGTATTACAGAATCATCCTAACTTTAAAATCTTATTTCAGTTAGGACCACATTCAGGACAAAAGCTATTACAGAACAGCATTTCCTAAGTGTGTTATCCTGTCTTAACTACAGGGCTATTACAGGAAACTCCTAACTTGACAAAAACTCCTAAAAGCTGTCCTAACTTCAGAATTATTTGAAAGCTAAAGAGGAAAAAAAAACGCTTACCATTGCGCTGTCCAAAAATGGCATTACATTTATTAAAGATTGAAAATGAAGAACGGAGATATTTAATGGTAGAATTAAACACCTTTTATGCCTTTTAGAATAAAAAGTTAAAAACGACACTTTTTGCCCGGAAGACCTATCATTTCATATCGTCATGCGACCGCGATAATATCAAGACAGTTTTGATATCGCGATATTGATCATATCGTTGCATCCCTCATATCTTAAGTGTGTTTGCTGTTGTTCTTCTGCATTATTGACACACTGTTTTCCTGTTTGATACTGTAAAGCTGCTTTGACACCATCTGTATTGTTAAAAGCGCTGTATAAATAAAAGTGACTTGACTTAAGACCTGAGATGAGAAACGTTCTGTAATACGCCCCAGATTTGAAAGATGAAGACCAGCATCCTGCACACCTCTACCTTCTCTGCAGGTGAAGTGTAATGTGTGAAGGCTGGTCTCAGTCCATCTGCTCAAGCGCTTGTCTCTGTCTGCAGACGCTGGCTCCGGCGCCACAGAAACGCCGCTTCACGGAGGAGGTGCCAGACGAGACGGACCGCGGCCTGCTGGGATACCAGGTGAGCCCTCGCTCCGGACGCTGCGCTCGTCACCGTCTGCCTCTACTGTGTTTCTGCAGGTGCGTGCGCTCAGCGGCCTGTGGGCGGAGCCTGTAGTGAAGTGACCTGTGACCTCTGGGGTCATGATGAGCACCTGAAAGTGTTCGCAGTATATTTGTGATGAATGACCGCAGATGAAAGCTCAAACCCTAGTGAGCCGCCTAACTAGACAGCAGCATTGAGTAAAAGACACTCTCAGTACTGACAGTAGTATTAATATGCCATTAATCTATAATGTGTCCTAATCAGTGTGACACTAGTTTTATTAATCAGTGTCTATTTATATTATTATTTGCTTTTTTTTTAACAGTGTACATAGAATCTATAGCTATTTGCACTTATTGTAAATAGCTGCTGCCTTTATTAATATGTATATGTAATGTGTTGTTGTTGTTTTTTTTAGTTGAATTGGTCTGTGCTGTTAGCATACAGCAGCTCACTAGGGTTCCTGCAGTGAATGATGGGAGCTGCTCATGTGTTTGACTGTAAATGTGATTTTCCTCTTCTGTGTGTGAGAGTGTGATAATCAGTCACTGATATGTGTGTGTGTGTGTGTGTGTGTGAGAGCGCGAGTGTGTGTGCGTGTGTGTGAGAGAGAGAGCGAGTGTGAGTGTGTGTGTGTGTGTGTGTGTGTGT